AAACCAAGCCCCCTGGATGGGTGTGTGTCTGTCTGTCTGTCTGCCTGCCTGTCTGTCTCCCTGGGTTGCTCTGGCCCCACCCCCTCCACTCTCCCCCTCACATCTGGGCGGCAGCAGCTTGTTTTTTTCCTCCGCGGTTGTGACACCCCGAGCCACGGGACGTTTCTCCCGTAGGGAGAGGGTGGGGTGCTCGTCTCGGCCAGGGGCCCCCGGGCACAGCGCCTAACCACAGCCCCCCCCATCGCCCCCCTCCAAGAGCAGAGTGGGGAGCCCGGGCACTATGAAAAGCAGATCACCCCGGGGCTGGGGAAGGGAGAGTGGATCCCTGCTGGTGATGGGGAAGGGTGACCGGATCCCTGCCAGTGATGGGGAAGGGCAACTGGATCCCCTCGGTGCTGGGGAAGAGGCTGTAGCCATGGACACCGTGGTCTCCTTGGTGGGGTGTGACGGGGTCTGCTCTGCCCTTCCCCAAAAATGCCAGCCAGGAGCACACCGGTGCCACCCACGGCCATGTCATCCTCAGCCCAAAGGCCTGGGGGACCCGAGGACAGGGGTGCCCCAGGAGCATCCCCACTGCTGGAGTCAGGTTTGGGCTGAACCAGCCCCCACGTTGGCACAGCGGCAGCATCGGGATGGACAGGCCCCATCTGTGCCCCCCCTTCCCATTGGAATAAATACCACTTATTCAGAAGAAACCATTTTATTATTTTTTTTTCCCAAAGAAAAAAAGCAATATAAATATTAGAGTATAAAACTTGCGTGTAACACATCGACATTGGTCTATATGGGTATAAGAAGGATATAAGCATATATATAATATATAAGTATAATTCAATATTAGACACATTGGAAGGGCAAACGTGTTTCATTTCACGTACACTCGGAGCACGGACCACATGGAAAGAAGATACAGAGAAAATTGAAAATACTGGTGTCCACAAGTTAGTTACCGAGATTAAAAATAACACGCCACTAAATACACAACACTCACTACGCTACCTCAGATTGCAGATTAAAAAGAAATATAAAGACTACGATTCAGCTACAGCATTTCTAGAGGGGGGCAGGTGGCAGCTGCAGGGGACAGGGTGGGAACCGCTCCCAGTGCAGCCAGCGCCGGAGGTGGCCAGATCCGGATGAAACACGGCGGATGCTTCTGCTGCCCTGGGTTTGGGGAGGGGGCGGCGGCGGGGTGACCGCTGCCATGCCAGAGCCTGGCCGAGAGGGCTGGACCCGCTCAGGTGAGTTACGTGTTAGTGATTAAAAAGGGAAAAAAACAACACACACCCCCGGGGAAAGCCGGCGCGGTCCCTTCCTGGCCACCCTGCAGCCCCTCTCCTCCCTCTGGCTACACAAAGTCCCCCTCTGCCTCCCAGGGGGGACTCAGAGCTGCTTTGATAGGGGAAGCCGGCCTGGTGCAAGGGTGATGGGCACACGGGAAAACTCTATTCCTCATCCTTCAATTCCTTCCGCAGGGTGGAAAGCCCAAAGCCAGCGGGAGCCCAGAAATCACCTCTTCTGGGCTGGCCCGGTGTGGTCCCATGCGACCTCCCCCCGGGCTTGTCACCCCCGCTCACTGGCTTTGCAGCATCACCCCGCGCTCACCGCCAGCTCTTGGGTCCCCCCTCCGGGTCTGGTCCCCAGGTGCCACCAAACCAACTGTTACTTACTCAGTCACCAACTCTGCACCAAAGCCGTGCGCCGGCAGCTCCACAGATCTCACCCCTTTGGGTGAGACCCCCAAAAACCCCCTTATTTGGGGTCCACCCCCCAAATATGAAGTGATGAGTCTCCCCATCCCACTTAAGCAATCCCTCCCCCCCCCGGGCTGCCGGCGCGTTCACACCACGCTGTGTGGGCATGCGAGGACTTCTCTTGGTCCGTGGAGCTAACTGGGCTAGTGCAGGTGTGAGGTGAAGGACGTGCATGCAGATGCGGTGTGCAGAAACGTGAAGCATCGTCCCCCGGTCCCCTTGGCAGGGACTCAGCCAGACGGCTGCAGGGGAGTGAGATTCTCTTAGCTTTAATTCCAGAAGAACATTGACTGTACATATAAATATTTACTGCAAAGAAGGGATGAGATGCGTCTGCTCTTCGGAGACCCCTAGAACCGCTGGGGCAGCTGCCGCACACCTCGGCATGCTCCTCATTGAATTCCCTACCTCTCAGACATCAGGAGGGGTTTTTTTTGTCTCGTATTTCAGGCCATCAGTGGTTGCACTTTCAAAAAAAAAAAAAAGTTTAGGATGCAGCTTTGCCATATTCCTTTTGACTCATGTAATATAAACACTTACTTATTTTTTTTCCGGGTAACAGGTAAGCAGGAACTGAAGCACTCCCTACCAACTTCTCAGCAACAAATCCATCGCTATCATTTTAACTGGGGGTGAATTTTACTAATGGAAAGTTTAAGAGCAAAGATCTGGAGCATGGGCTCTAAGCTAGGAACTTCCTTTTCCTTTCCAAAAAATGATCGAAGGTCTATAAATTAAAAGATCCGTATTAAAATTATTTACACTGGGCAAAGCTGAGCACAAGCCTTGTGCTTTTCTCGGACTATCTGGGAGCAAATCGGATCCAAAGACGTGGCAGAAGACCTTCCACCCTTGCATATTCTAATACCCGAGGGATTGTATAAAACATTAGCAAGTATTCACAGGGCACTTGTTTGCGTTCGGTTTAGCTTCCGGATTGGTTTTCATCATGAGATCTAACAGCAGCGAGACCCTGCTCCTAGCTCTGATGATGATGAGATACATTCGCAATGTTTCCTACTTTTTGCGTCACAAAAAAATTCACATTCGTCCTCCGGCCTGGGCTGTGGTATGGGGGAGTGCTGGAGCCGGCTGCCCTGTAGCTCTAAGGTCTCCTTCTTCTTCTCTACTTCTTCTCCTTCTTCCCGGATTTCTTCTTGTTGCCTCCTGAGGAGCCGGCGCTCTTGGCGTCGCGCTTGCCGGCGGCATTGGTGAGGGTGGCGGTGCTGCCCGGGATGTAGACGTTCTGCCGGTAATCGGGGACGTGCTGCAGGGTGAACTGGGGGCCGTAGCGGGCGCTCAGCCCCATGGTGCCCGTCCCGCCGCCCAGGGTCGAGTTGCCGTCAGCAGCTTCTGTGGGGGGACACCGGAGGGGGAGGGGGAGCGAAAGAGAAGAGCAGGTTGTTAGTGCCGGCCAGAGCCCACCCCAAGCCCCAGCAGCCCCGAAAGGCTCTCGCTGGGTGTCAAACCCAGACCTCGGTGCCACCAGCCTTCACCCTCACCCCTCGGTACCCTTCAGCGCTATCGCTCCACGGGATGGCTGCAACGTGGGTGCTGGGGAGCACGGCACAGCCGGCACCGAAATCCCTTGGGTCCATCTCACATCATTGCTAAAGGTTTGGGGTTTGGGGCTGGGGGCTGGTCAGGGTAGGGCAACCTCTCCTCTGCCCTTGGCAGCAACGGGGCTGCCTGTCCCTCCCCACCTGCCTGACGCTGTCTGCTCTGCCCCCCTCCCCGGCTGCTGCCTCTGCAGAAAAACATTCTTCCCCCCCCTTCGAAAGCAGCCCATTACGAACGTATTGTACAGCCACATCCACTAGTAATGCATTAAGGGAAATCCAATATTTTTTTTTTCTACTGCATTTAAAACCCTGCCCCCGGTATTTCTCCAGCCGGGTTTATTCAGGGAGCAGAGCACATGAGATGAGAAAGAAAATCCCTCCCCTGCAGTACCGCAAAGTGGCTCTAGGAAGCCGAGCACGAAGCAGATCAATGCCGAAGCGCGTCCGACGGTCCAGATCTGGGAGCAGGGGGAGGGGAAGGCAAACTGATTCCTGCCACGCTGCAAAGCTCCAGCAGGGAGAGAGCAAGTGCGGGGGCGGGGAAGGGTGCAGGGACCCCCGGGATGCTGGGGCACTGCTGGAAGGTAGGGACCAGATGGAGACGGGGGGATGCAGAGAGGCAGGGGGATAAATGAGCACAGGGGGAGGGCAGGGCACGAGCGATGCTGTTTTCATGAGCCGCTGCGTGACCCTGCTCCGGCGTGACTGCCCGCGCACAGCCCACGGTGGGATCCTTGCACAGCCCTGCTCAGAAATGAGTTGCTAAACCCCTGTCTTTGCATTGGGTACTGTGGATCCCATCTCAGCCTTTTAACTGCTTCGTGCGTGTGGCTATGGACACTCTCTCCTGGGAGGCTGGAGAAACCCAGCAAGGGCACCTGTAGGGCCCAAGGCAGAGTCCGGGGCTGCTACTCCCTCCTTTCACAGGCAGAGAGACTACGGGAATAAAGAAAAACAACAAGCAGAAAACGTGGGCTGGTCCCCTCGTGTTTTTCCTCACTCCAGACCAGATCTGTGCACACCTCCGTGTTGCCTTTGCTTTCCCCTGAGCAGATGGAGGTGGCTAAGCCAGCCAGAAAGCTAGACAAAAAGCTGGGCTACATCCCACCAACCCCCTGAAATATTGCTGTGTACGCATCCCCTCACAGAGGTCGGAGGTATGAAGCAACTGCAGTCTGAAACGTTACAGCTGCTTTGCTGGAGCAGGCGGAGGGAAACACACAGCGCGTCCGAAAACAGGCGGGATATTGTGCACCGAGGCTGGGGGATGTGCGGGATGGTGTACAAACACAGCGAACCAGTGCGGGGAAATGCCATTTTGCTTTCCGCTGTGGAAGCATTCACCGGCAGGAGGATTTTTCTACAGGCCCCATTAAATGGGTCCCAGACCTGGCAGGGCTTTGAGGACCTTGGGCTGGAGGAGGGCTGGAGGAGATGTGCATATACAGTTAGTGATATTTATCGCGAATCCTTCGCTCACCTCATCAGCAGCTTGTTTCATTAACAACCAACTCAACCCCACACCCATCGGGGTGTCAGGAGCAGGGAGGGGATGGGTAGAGATGTGCTGTCAGGCCAGGCTGCAGCCAGGGACTGGCTCGCAGGTGGACTATGGCCTCTGGTAGC